ATTTCACTTGACTAAAGCAAATAGAACCTGTGGAAACTTGTTGACAATTTAAAGACTTCAAAATTGTTTCAGGATAAAGATTTTTACTGGGAAAACGACGTTCTAAAAACAAGTCATCTAGAATCTATTCATTTACTAACTTTTTTTTTCAGTTTGGTCAAAAATTTATTATTATTATTAACCTAAGTACCTCCGGGACAGCAAGCAGTGACCTCCAACAAAGCTAAACTTAGTGAGGTGTATCCACCGCTCAATATACCAGTAATCGTTAAAAAACGTCATTAAAACAAAAGTTTAGCAATGACTTAAAAATCACTAAAAAGTACGTGAACAAGCATACAATTAACAAAGGTAAATCAAATAAAGTCTAAAATGACATAGACAAGAAACGAAAGTAACGAAGAAAAAGAGGTAACTGTAAGGCGGAACAGCTGCAGTCAAAGGTTTATACGATACAGAAATAATTATCTGAGTGAATGCTGCTACAAAATTATAGTCTTCAAGGCTTATTTGATTTCAAAAGATCAATGAATTTTGATGTATAATTGAGCAGAGAAGTAAAATTTAGACTGCTCCGTTACTCTTGTAAGTTGACGCAGCACATTTAAAACTTAAATTTCAAAATAATGCTAGGCATATCGCGCCAGAAAATGAAAGATTTAAACAGGAGGATGGCCTCTGAGGTTAGTTTTCGCACCTTGTAATGAAAAACTATTGAAAAATGTAAGGTCTCTCTTTTGAGGCTAAATATTATTACTCGTTTCTATTTTGCAAACTGTTCCTGAGCTTTTGACAGATCTGAATTTGGTTTCGGCATACAATGCAGTCGTTTCTGAATAATGAGACTTTTTTACAACTTCTAAGATAAAGCTTTTTTTTTTCTTGTTTACCAGATATTCAGAAAAGTTGACTCCTGTTAATCAAAACAGTGTTAAATGTTTTTTTTTTATTTGTTTTTTATTACTTTTTTTGATAATTTATCATTTATCTTTTTTTACCTTGGTACAGAATTTTATCTTTTTTTTTTACTTCCTCATACTTAAAATGCAGAAGCGTGTTTCTTTAGACAGACCGCGTTGTATTAGCATATAACGTAATACTAGCTGGGTAACTATATCTTCTATTTCATACAATACTTTTTGAAAAATTTTGAAACCGACTGGTATATTAATTTTAAAGTACAGCTTTTGTAAAAAATAATTTCAAGAACACTTTTATTTTGCAGTAGTCTTTGTTTATCAGATTCGACAACTTTGCTTTGTTTTTTAGCCGATAACAGAGAAGTTGTTTGCGTGACACATCGACAGTCATCTAAGCTTGAGCATGCGTAAAAATTTTATTTCAAATAATCAAAACTTAAGGTTTTTTCGCTGTTTTATGCTTGAAAAAAGAAACAACAAAAAAAATTAATAGCAAATTTTTCTTTTTTATCTTCTAATAAGATTAAATGTCATCAAAATAGATAGCTTTTCTGAGCAGCATATAATGCTTTAATATAAGATTGTGCATTAATTTATAAAGAAATACATTCAAAGTGCTTTGAACGGTTGAGTTTTTTTAGAGACTTCTTCAAATGATTATTGAAGCTGTGAAATTTTAAACTTTTTGGCTCTAATATGAATGTTTTGAAACTTTTTCTTCTTTTATGACAATCATTCGCTGCTTTTAAAAGTAATATTTTAACAGTTCTGGTTCAAAGTTAACTGAAATAACACTTTATATGCCACTTTAAAACTAGTTTACACACTGCATTTTACAGATGCTTTACTGAGGAACAAGCAGACGATTATCCTAAACTATATTGCACTGCAACATAGAATAAAAACAGTAGATAACAAAAAAGTTATATTTTACAAACACCGAACGATTTAAAGAATAAACTAACACATATGATGCTATGTTTTGCTTAACACCCTTTACAAAGGTGACAATGCTGTAAAAATTTACAGGTTATTTTTAAAATTTATAAGTCTTTTATATTCATTCAATCTATTAATGTCTCTCAGGTTCAAGTCAAGAACTTTCTTTACCAAAAAAAAAGAGCAGTTTTTTACAATGTTGCTTTCAAAAATTTTTAGTTGTTTTTTGTTTTTCTTTCTAATTTTTATTATTTGAAAGCCTAAGCGCCTTATTTTGTTTTTTCTTGACCAAGCATTTTACTTCAAGAAGATCACTCACAAGAAATAAATTGATTCAGTTCTAAAGACGGATTAAGACAACAAGTAAATTAATAGCTAGATATTTACAAGTTTTTTCACACTGTTCCTTGTAGTTAATCTTACTGTAAAGCTGTTTAACATAAATTGAATACCGTAAATATAGTGAATGTGCGAATCAGTGTCTCTAAACCTGCACTGGCCCAAAACCCATTTTGAGGCTGTCTATGACCCAAACAACTATCAGCATTGACAAAATCAAGTATTTTAAAACCAGCTTCTCTCATACACCAGCCATCTTCCAAACTTTTCATGTCATTAGTCATTTTTATTTTAGTAACTTATTCCCTTCAAATTCTTGAAGTAGTTGACTTTGCTGAAGACTTGCTTCTGAATAGCTGTTTTTGTACCAATTTTGGATAGAAACCAACCACGAATAGATCATCAAAAATGCAAATAGCGTTTTTGTAAAAGTAACATATAGAAGCATATGAACTTGCTCTTTGTTTTCTCTACCAGAAACAGGCGACAGTCAAGCATAAAAAGGAACAATGGAACTGTACGAAGCGCGGAACAAGCGAAGTTGCAGCACATCTGAACACACTGACACACTGATGAATGTTCATACAGAATTTCAATTATGTCTGCATTTTATAAAGACTGACTAGTTGCTGATAGACCACAGATAGATACACAAGTCTATTTTTAATAGAATTCTTTTCACCTAGAAAAAAAATTTATTACCCTCTTGCAGATCTGCCTTAGAGAACAAAGTAAGCAGCAATACAGAGATTGAAAAAAATTTGTGAAAATGCAGCAAAGAAATATGTGATTTTATACTAAGAGAAGAACATAGTTTGACTTACCATTATTAGCCGAGAAATATTAGCCTAAAAGTTTAAAAAATAGCGCGAATATCGTTTTGCTGTTGCAATATTTGCAAAAAGCAAGACAAGAGTTGTGAGACTTTTGTTTTATTTAAACCGAGAGCTTAAAATTAGAAGGAAGAATGCTGATATTTCAAGATGTGTAAAAGTTTCCTTTATGGCGTTTTTTTTTAATTGTACGTGGCTGCCTTTGCGAGGTTTTATCTTTTTTTTTTCTTCTGCCTTTTGACGGCTTATAAAATTTGGCATAAGCGAAATACCATGTTCTGTTGCAAAAGAACAATTGTCTGATCGTAACCATTCACGAAACAGTTAATGTGCTCTTGTAAATTACTACATATTGAATTTCTTTATGAATAATTAAAAAATATTGGTTCTTATAGAAGAAAAAGTGTGGTAGATAGAAAACCAATCTAAGGCACAAGATTTCAAAGATGATTTGAAAAAGTTTATTTTTCTGTTTCCCACCTTCAGCGAATTATTTTAAGTTCAAAAATAATCCTCACTATGCAAGAAAATTCCTTTGTACTTGATTTCTAACTTGGGAAAGGGATTTTGCATAAAAATCAAAAAAACTTTGCTGTCTATCACTCAATATAGTAACTACTGTGAAGTGAAGACCTCTGTTCAACTGCGTGTCCATTGTGATACTGAAATTACTGATTGTTGTTTAAAACTTTGTAACAGTAAAATACTATTGGCATATAAATGACATTATACTAATGAGTGGATACAGAGACTCGCAGGTTGAACAACTAAATTCCCAAATTCTGCTCTGTAGTCTTCTTAGTATTTTATAAGTAACCTTACAAATGTTTTTTAGATTCATGAACACATATGTTTACTTTAAATCAGCATAATTAATACATACAATAAACTTATAGAAAAGCTAAGATTTACGTATGAAACCATATCGTTATAAAACATTGGCAAGAAAAAATTTAATTTGAAGAAAACTAAAAAGTACAACTGAAAAAAATTTCCCTTCGAGGTTTTTCATTTCTACCATTTCTAATTGTACAGCTGTACGAGACTTGTATAGACTATAGACAGATCTGGCAGTGTACTTGCTAAAAAGTTCAACTCAACAATACAAATATTTAGCAAATAACAGTTTAACATCGTTCAAGCAAAAGCAACGTATCTAAAAAATAAGTTATCTATGCCAGCCTTTTTTTTTTTTTTTTT